GGGGGTCGGGATGAATAGGCATTAATAGGATAAGTATGTTCTTTACCCCCTCCCCCTTGACTTGTCTGTATTCAGAAGAGTCTGTTTATTTATGTTTGTTTGTCTAAATGTGCTTTGTCCTAACATTTAAATCCAGACCTGTCTCACCATATCCTGTATATACAATCCTCCCCACCTTCTCTTTATCTATCTATCTATCTATCAGCATATGTTGTCATTTATCTATTTACATGTTCAATCTATCTATCCTATTGCTCTGTCTAGTTATCTATTTACAGTTTACATGTTCAATCTATCTATCCTATTGCTCTGTCTAGTTATCTATTTACAGTTTACATATTCAATCTACCTATTCTATTGCTCTGTCTAGTTATCTATTTATCTATTTACATGTTCAATCTATCTATCCTATTGCTATGTCTAGTTATCTATTTCCAGTTTATATGTCTATCTATTTATTTATCCACCTATCCATATATATAATTATCTATTTAAAAATGAGCAAGTCTTGTCTATTATCTGTTTATATGTTACATTTATCAATCTGTCTATTTTTTTTTTACTATTTTTTACTTTTTTCTGTTACATAGTACAGATAAATAATTTACTATCACTTTTTACCAATTATATATCATTACACATCTTCAATCTATCTATCTAGCTCTCTGACCATCTATCTATCTATCTTTCCCCCCTAGGCACCTGTCATTTCCCCCGCAAGACAGTAAATTTTCCCTGCCCTATTCTCCAACTTATTGCAAAACAACTTTAATGTTATACATCCCAAAACGAAATGAAAAAATTAAACAAACTTAACGTTAGAAACTTATTTAAAAAAATTTTTGTAAGTCAATTCATGAAAAAATCAGATTGAAATGAAATTTGTCAAACACTTTTTTTATACTTTTAGAAAAAGAAGAATATTTTTTTGAAAAGACTATTCGTTTATTTTTGTAACATCAATATTTACTGTCAATTCTAGCACTGATAAGACAATTTGTCTCCTAAAAGACTTTTAATTTAAGATTATCATTAAAAAGTTTTTGCAATTCCTGTCATTTTTTCTTTGGGAAAAAAAGAATTAAAATTACCCCCTATTGTCACTTCTGGATTGTTGGTTTTTGATGTTATGAAGGGGAAAAAATCTTGACAACCTTGGTTGGGTGCATTCATAAACCCATACTTAGTGCTTACTACTTACTCCTCTGGAGGGGTTTAAAGTGTGGGTAATCAACATGGTTCAAGACACGCTCTGTAATCAACTGTTCCCGTATTGGATATGGTTCTGATTTGAGGTTTTTGCATTGCAAGCAGTGTGGCAGGTTTAGGGTGTGTATTGGGGGGAATAAATGGTTGCAAATCCATAACTTGATTGAACCTGGACATGTGGTGTCCTGCAAACTAAACTCTAGTTTGCCAATACAGGGATTATATACAAGCCAGCTGCAGTGATAGGGATCTTTAGTAGCAATGTTAGGGGAGTAAATCCTAAAGGGAAAATACAATAATTTCTTTTTTTTTAAGGACGGCAGACGTAATTTCAAGTTACCATATCTGATTAACAAATATTAAAACAATTATTTTTAATGTTGTCATTTCTCTAACAAAAACTTTACAACTACAGTTCCTTAAAACAAAAATTGAACATTTCTTAGAAAATGAAATTAAAATGCATTTTTTTATTTAACTTATGTCCTTAACATGTTTTTACTAAGATTTTCAATGTCTTAAATAAGTTTGAAACTAAGCTACCCCATTCCCCCTTGATCGTGATTCTGCTCCTTTAGCAGGGTAACCTTGAGGGTACAATGTACAAGTGTATTAAGCAGCTCGTTATAATAATTACAATTAAAGTTTAAAACTAGGTCGTTTCCTTCAACCTTCAGATAGAAATAATCCTTATCCCCTTATATGGGGGGGGGGGGTAATCATTATCGGAATTGCAATTTAACTTTTCAAAATTTTACCTTGCTCTTCTGGTTTTCATTAAAGAAAAAGCTTGGAAACCCAGTTTCCTCCTACAAACCTACCAAACGCAGCCATTTCGTGGTTCTACTTAGTTCACCAATCAAAATTTGAGGCAAATCAATCAAGGGGTTTATTAGTTATGATTGGACATTCAAACAAACAAACATGACAACAGAGAATATTATTTTGTTAATTAAGATATAATTTTGCAACTGCAGTCTACCAATGATAGAGAGTTTGGCAAATTGTATTGTACAAGAAAGATATATCACAAAAATAAAAATTAAGGAACTGGTTGCCCGTCACAAACTCTAATTTCTTTATTTTTGCAACCTAAATTTTTAGTTTTGCTAGATCTAATAGTCAACATTTAAAATATCAAAGGTTTAAACAGGTTTAAGAAATAAATGGATTAGAAAATAAGATTATTAGATCCTTTGTATTAAAAAGATAAAGACAGCATACAGTGTCGGTATACATTGTACGTAAAGTCAGAATTATATTTGTATTTTTAGGTTGAATTTAAACAGTGAGGACATCAGTATTCAACCCGTTCATCCCAGTATCATGGGACAGGTTAGTTATAATACAGTACACTCACATAATAACTTTACACCATACATAGTAATTTTACAATAACATTATAAGTTAATTTACACTGTGCATGCATGGTAAGTGTACAATTACATGTAAATACTCTTTTCACTGAAAATTTAACAAATATCAATTGTAATCAATATATGAGAAATTAATATAAAGTTTGTTAAAAATGTTTCCAAGCTGCCATTAACTCTGATTTTCTAATTCCTATGTCTTTGCAACCCAATTTCGTATAATTTAGCTATTTAAACTATGATTTTTGTTAGATTAAATAATATAAGTTTGAAATATGAAGAGTTTACATCATTATGTTTTTAAGACATAGGTATTAGAAAATGGCAAAAGCTCAGTTCCCTGTGCGGGCCTTGAACCTAAACATTTGGATCATCTGGAATTTGTTTCTGTATTTATATAAATATCTTCTAAAACTTGTTCTGTAATGTTGTGCGACAATTGTTTATATTTTAAGCCTGCTCTGCTCTAATGAAAGCCTGGATTTGCTGGGGGGGGGGGGGGGGGGGGTGAAAAGGCATTAAAAGGATAAGTATGTTCTTTACCCCCTCCCCCTTGACTTGTCTGTATTCAGAAGAGTCTGTTTATTTATGTTTGTTTGTCTAAATGTGCTTTGTCCTAACATTTAAATCCAGACCTGTCTCACCATATCCTGTATATACAATCCTCCCCACCTTCTCTTTATCTATCTATCTATCTATCAGCATATGTTGTCATTTATCTATTTACATGTTCAATCTATCTATCCTATTGCTCTGTCTAGTTATCTATTTACAGTTTACATGTTCAATCTATCTATCCTATTGCTCTGTCTAGTTATCTATTTACAGTTTACATATTCAATCTACCTATTCTATTGCTCTGTCTAGTTATCTATTTATCTATTTACATGTTCAATCTATCTATCCTATTGCTATGTCTAGTTATCTATTTCCAGTTTATATGTCTATCTATTTATTTATCCACCNATTATCGGATTTAATATTACGCAATTTGGGTGTAAGTACCTAATTGTTTCTATTTTTGTCATAAAAGAAATGTAATTTTGTAATCCCCCTCCTTCCTATAAACCTGAGTCCTTATTGTCTCTGTATCTAGTGAATGTTTTCCTTTCTGTAATGAAAATTCAAATTCGCCGGGGTCTTAAAATTTATGCAAAGTTGCCTGTGCAAAAACATAATGTTATCGCGTGATTTATTATTAAGTTGAAAGGACAGTTGGTTGAATATGTTCAGTTTACTTTTAGGGTTTTCATTCGCAAAACTTTTGCGCAATTTTTGCGGAACGAAACGCAATATTTTTCTTTCTTTGCGCATCAATTTTGCGCGAAAAAAACAACAATTTGCGCAATCATTCGCAAAAGTCATTTCGCGCAAAATTGCCCTATTCCGCTTTTGCGAAACTCAAGTTTTGCGCAATTCCGCAACTAGAGTTTTGCGCAAAAGATTTAGCCATTTCGTGGAAACCCTATTTACTTTCTAAAATCAGATCAGGGAGAGATATTGAGAAATATATTCCAAATGAACCGCCAACTGTCATGGTGGACATAATTCTCTTCATTTAGATCTATTCAGCTTTTTAGATATTTAAATGTCTTCATAATTATATATATATCCAGATATCAATCAGGGGGCCGGGGGGGGGGGACGTCTTCCAAGCCACCATCTCTAAATCAAGAGATTTCCCTTCTAATGTTTCCAGTTCAATTTTCTTTCTTGCTTCTTGCTTCTTGTTTCTACACTTTGAGGCCTCTCCAAATAGTTATTTTGACATCGAGTTGTGGAGCAGGTAGGGGAGAAAAAAGGAGGTTTGTGGGAGGAAGGGTAAAAGGGATTGCTCCCTGCTGTCCTTCTTGTTATAGTCTTTCCGAATTCCGGTAATTTTAAGAAAGCCCATAACTGCACTCCTTATGCAAAATGGGAGTTGTAAGCTTTAAGACCCCATTTTGAGGAATCTTCCACAGCAGTCCAGTCCTCGCAGATGGTCGAGTAAAAAACCGGTATCGTTGTCTATGGCTTGTATACCACCAGGGATTAGCGGTTTTAAAATGTAGATAGATTGAATTTGTTTCCAAGCTATCTGCAGGTTATCTATTGATTATTGAGTCAAAGAACTGATAAATTGTATTCAAATTTTCTCATCCTTAAATTTTAACAATTTAGATCAAAGCTTTATGGTATCTGATTGCTTAGATAAAAGGATGTGAAATCTGATTACGGGCAATTACTATAAGTTGAAGGATTGAGTGACTAGCTACTTTCTATAAAACATCTTTTAAAGCATTAATGATTTCCTTTTAATCATTTTATACTAACCATTAGATTTCTTGCTTTGTGCCAATTTTCATGTTCTGTTGCATAAACCACCCTTACGTATAGTTGGTATTATAATTGGTGTTTTTTATTTTTTCTTCATCTTTTTTTTCCTGTATTTCCCTTCGGCCCTGTTTTCTCACTGTTTATTTCTGTTTGTTATTTTATATCATTTATATTTCTGATTCCCTTGTATCCCTACGTATCTCTGTATCCTTGTATCCCTATATATATCTGTATCATTGTATCCCCGTACATCTCTGTATCATTGTATCCCCGTACATCTCTGTATCCTTGTATCCCTTTATATCGCTGTTTCCCTATATATTTTTGTATCCCTATATATCTCTGTATCTTTTTATCCCTAAATATATCTGTATCCTTGTATCCCCGTACATCTCTATTTCCTTGTATCCCCGTAATCTCTATTTCCTTGTATCCCTATATGTGTATGTATCCGTGTATCCCTTTATATCACTGTATCCTTTTATCCCCCTATATCTCTGTATCCTGTAAATAAACCTAAGCGTACTACGTATGTCTACGCTATAGAGATGATTTCTGTATGAGATAAACCGTAGGGTTAGTTATACTTTCACTTCCTACCATTCAATTACCAGCATGTAGAGAGAGAGAACAACCTCCCTTCATTTTCATCATCAAACTTTACTTCACTTCATTGATCAATCATAATCACTGTATCATAAATCTGCAAGTAACTGTGATAGTAAAGCCACAACTAAAAAAAAAATCAATTTTCCTGAGAGAAATATAGGGATGTATCAAATATTCTAGGTGCCATGGTAAATTGGATATGCCACTCTAACAGACGAAATTAGTATCTTTAGCGGATTAAATGTGTATCTTTGGATGAAAAAGTTATCGTAGGCATTGCTTTTTACCAAGTGTTCATACATCTTGCTGTCATTTTTGCAGAAGCATAAAAAGTGTCCCTGTAAGCCTATAAACCTGTTTTTGCAAACTTTGATTGACAACCTAATTGAAAAATGGACACTTCAAAAAAAATATCACCATTTAAACTATGTTTTTTTAGTTTAACACGTTGAAGTTAAAAAAAACTTTGTTCAAGAATGACCTTTATTTCTCAAACCCAAAACTAATAAGTATTAAAATACAAATATATATAAAAATATATAAAAAATTATAAAAAAATATATTAACTTTATGGCAGATTTATCATATATTTTTTTAAAAACTGACGTGAATTATGAAAACGTCAAGAATAAATAAATTTTAAATGAACGGAAATAGAATTATGATTGTAATCCTTATCAACCTTAAACAGAGCTCGTGTAAAATTTAATTTAAGTGGATAATTCAGATAAAATACAGAAAGTTTTTACTAAAAAAAAGGTTTCGGTAAAAAGACCGGTTGATATACGCGAATAAATGCAAAGGAGACACAAAATAACATGTGAATTATGATCTGTATGGTTTGTTAGAAGGAAATTGTCTAGTTTTATCTTTAATAATTGATTTAAGACCTTGTATGCACACACCACGAGCTTTATATATATCTTCTGGTTTAAACCCACCGCAAACCAAACCAAACCAATCTGAAATTATGTAAGTAACAAACCATACCTTGAAACCTATTTATTTTCTAGTTAATATGAGTTAAGGCAGAAATAGTAAAGAAAGTATAAGTTACGAAATTTATTCACCAGCCCTATGGTGCGCCATTTATAGAAAAAAAAGACCAAAAATATTAGGTCACAAAGTTTCAAGTTCATGGTAGAAATTATGTTTTTAAGATTTATTTGGATTGAAATAATTTTTGATAATTTAAAGGCTTTAGACTTAACGGAGAGTTTAGCTGAATCTTTTCTAACATTGGGATTTCTAAGTTTGGTGGTTTGATCAATGATAGATTTTAATCTTAATAAAAAATTTAACTTCTTTAGTTCATCAAAATGGTCAAATTCATCATAAAGATTAACTTCATTTCATTCAAAAGTTTCCAACCCTGTTCAAATATTATTCAGTTTAGGATTAAGTTAAGGTAGAAAAAAAGAGTTTTTGTCAAAACTTGAACTTGTTAATAGTGCTCACAACTCAGAACACACTCACAGATATTATTGAGTAATCTACAAAAGCTCAGGTTTCAGTTCTCCCCCTCCCCTTCCATCATCACACGTTTCATCTCTTTATTATTGTTAGTATTATTATCATCGTATCATTATATTATTATAGACTTTAGAAACTTAAATTCTGTTTTTGTTCCAAACTCGGCACTTTTTACTTACACAATTTACACCTTTCCAAGTATTCTGTTTTCTCAAATCCTCCTCCTCCCCCCGCCATAAATCAACTTTTTCTCCTAGTAAACCTGCCACAGAAATAGTTATAGGTTATTTCTAATTTTCAGCTTGTATTAAAGAAGAACTCCCCAATGTGCAATAAAAAAGTAGTTATATTTCTAGAAAACCTACTTTTTGCCACATACAACATGTTTTTATACTATGCTGGGGCACGTCAAGTAAATTTCACGATAGATCATATCTAACTTCACTTTTTTTGAAAAGCTGCTAATAAAATAATATTTCATTATTTCACGAAGGTGTAAAATCAAGACTAAAGTACGCACCTCTGACCCTTTAATAAAAGTAAATTCAACCTAAAGTCTGACCG